TCATTGCTTTCGAACTACCGTCCAATATCGCTTCTAAACTCGTGTTACAAAGTAGTGGCTGCATTGGTTTAAAATCGTTTAGACGCTGGCTTAGATACTTGGTTAATGCAGACCCAATATGGATTTCGAAAAAGTAAATCTACCAGTCAAGCCATCTTCGTAGCCCGTAGATTACAAGACATCTCGGAAAAATCGAGATCCAGCAGCACCCTCATCCTATTTGATTGGGACAAGGCATTCGACAAAGTGTCACACAAAAAGCTAATCGAAACATTGCACCGGCTTCGTATACCAGAAAAAATAGTGACTCTGATCTCAAGCTTCTATTGTAAACCTCAGTTCAAGGTGAAAGCAGGCGCAGACGAATCTACATGGAGAACACAAATGGCTGGCATTAGACAGGGCTGTCCATTATCTCCGTACTTGTTCGTGTTGCTTATGGGTGCTTTATTTAGTGATTTGAAGAGAGAGCTTTGTACAAAGAGACAGCAGGAACCCATAGACGGGATTCACTTTGCAGAAGTCCTCTATGCTGATGACACTCTCATTTTTGGCGCCAACACTCATTGCATTAATGTGCTTCTTCATGCAATCGAGCGACACTCGAAATATTTCGGATTACAGCTGAATTATGACAAGTGTGTAAATATTACAGCTAGTCAACGTATCTCCTCCGTCCGTTTTTCGCCTGACGGCCCTGCACGAGGGAGACTTGTTCCTCGTAAGCATGCAGCCAGCTATTTAGGATCTTTATTGACTGATTCATTTGACAATCGAGCAGAAATTCTTAATCGTCTTGGAGACTGCACTGCTACCGCAAACAGAATGAAGGTGTTCTGGAACAAAGCAAACACGTCGGTTAGATGGAAATTGCAAGTTTTGAACGCAATTATCAGATCTAAGCTTTTATATTCAGATGACAAGCGCGGACATATCAAGATTAAATGCATTTCAAAACAAGTCCCTGCGAAGAACTCTTAACAAGCCTCCAACTTTCATGGACAGAAAAATCACCAACGAAAGCATCTACACTGAGATCAGGGAGCAACACGGCTGCGTTTTTGAACACTTTGGAATAACGTGGCAGAGAGCGAAACTAAGACTCTTCGGTCATATTTTGAGAGCACACCCTTCTGATCCGATGAAGCAAGTCAGTTTGGCAGCAGACGGTTTACATCCCAGGGCTGTTAGTCAGCGTCGTTCAGGACGACCAAGAGCGGACTGGATCACCCAAAGTTATAAAGATGCTTTCACGGCTATGTTTCCAGGTGGGGCCTTGTTCGATGCTAACAACACAAATCATTTGTTACAAGTCAAAGCTCAAGCACAGTCAAGATTGCTTCCTTTCGGGTGACCCACCCAGGCTTCGGCTTCTCGAGGTAATTGCTCTTGGTAATCTCTTTGGCGTCAATATGCGGTGCTCTTTTTCTAGACTTTTTCACATTGGCAGCGGCATTGTCTATAGTTTGCGTGCACAGCGATCGTCGGGGGCTCAGCTTTGCCCATGGGAAAATACATATATATATATATATATGGTGATAATCTGTATACATATGTGTGTGTATATATGTTCTGATGTTCTCACCAAATAATATTTCATAAAGTCGTTTACGCGCATAAGTTTCACATTCGGGGTAGTTCCGGGCTGTAACATAATGTTGCGTGGCTATATATAGTATATATATAGTATATACAGTATAGATAGTATATACAGTTTATTTTGTATACAACTTGTACAGTATATATATATATATATGGTCACGCGCTCCGCGGCCCCCCCCCCCGCTCCCCCCCCAAAGGTCAATGGTCCCCTCCCCTGTGGTGTGGGGTGTGGGGTCCCTCTTCCCCCTGTGGGGTGGTTGTGGGGTTTTGGGGTTTAGGGGTTAGCCTAAGCTTTTGAATGTTGGGTTTACGGTTACAAGGTATGACGCTTCGAGTCGACAAGGGCTTAGGGAGGATTTGCGGTGTATGTTCTGCTTTAGGCTTAGAGCCTGCAGTTAGGTGGGGTTTAGGGTTGGGTGTAGGGTTTTAAGCACAAGTTAAGGTTACTCAAAACAGGGACAATCGCGGCGTGATAGGGTTTACGGCTTGCTTGCGAAGGGCTTGCGTATGAGCCCTGGCCACCAGCACCACCCCACCATATAGTGGCAGCTCCAACCGCCCCGACCCCTTTCCGCACACCCCAGTCCCCCCCCCCCCCACCCCCTACCAGACCATACCATTGGGGGGGGGGGGGGGGGGGGGGCTGGGAACGCCAGACGCCTGACCATATATAGTATATGTAGTATATAAAGTATATAGAGAGTATAGAGTATATACGAAATATATAGTGTATGTAGTGTATATAGTGTGTATATAGTAAATAAATAGTATATGTAGTACAAATAGTGTATATAGTATATAGAGTATATACAGTGTATATAGTCCATATAGTCTATATATAGTATATACAGCATATACAGTATATATATATATATATAGTACATAAAATATATATATATATATAGATAGTATGTATAGTCTATATACTATACGTATATAAAGTATATATAGACGCCGGTTTGCCTATGATGGAGGGCACCTGCGCATCATGTTGCCAAAAGACAAAAAGCAACCCATATGTTGAGCCTTTTTCAGCAGCACATGCACTGGATCTGCAAAAGGGGGGCTGCGCCCCCCCAAGCGCCCCCCCGCGCTTTGCATTTCGACGCCGGTTTGCCTATGATTGGGAGACCTGCACATCATTTCAGCACCACATACACTAGATCTGCAACTGGCGGGACTGCGCCTCCTCCAACCTCCGCTTTGCTTTTTGTGCCGTGCATGGCTGGCTCTGAAGAACGTCGCGCCGTCAAGATGTTCGAAACTCCATGATGTGCAAGTGTTGGGGCCGTCTGCAACCGTGGGGCCGGTGCCCTCCGCTGTTTTGTAGCCGCTCAGGCTCTTTTTTTTTCGGGCGCGGGCTTTCCGAAACAAGTTTTCAACAAGACAAACCAAATCGACACTTTTTACCCTACGACAAAGACAAATAACGTAGGTTTTCTTTAAGAATCTCCGGAACATGGCACGCAATCCAGGGAATGCTGTTTTCCTCAGGACAAATGAAGACGACGGACCCCGAACAACAACAACAACAACAACAACAACAACAACAACAAGAGTAGCAGCAGCAACAAAAATAGCAAATAAAACACCAATAATAATAACATGACAACAACAGCAACAACAACAACAAAGAACACAACAACAACAACGGCAACAAGACCAAGAACAACAACCAGCGTAACGTGGGCTCTCTTCAGCAAAACGTCTGGGAATGGCATGAAGTCCGTCCGAAATGTGAGGACAACAGTTTTTTCTCCACAACCACAACTACTACTGCGGCCGAAACACCAGCAACAAGAGCAACAACTACAACTACAACTACAAACACAACAGCAACAATAACAAAACAAAAACAACAACAACAACAACAACAACAACAACAACAACAACAGCAACAGCAACAGCAACAGCAACAACAGCACCAACAGCAAGCACAACCAACCAACCAACAACAACAACAGCAACCAACAAAAGCAACAACAACAACAACAACGACAACAACAACAACAACAGCAATAACAACAGCAATAACAACAATAAAACCAACAACAACAACAACAACAACAACAACAACAACAACAACAACAGCAGCAACAGCAACAGCAACAGCAACAGCAACTACAACAACAATTGCAACAACAACATCAACATCGACAACAACAACAACCACCACAGCAACAGCAAAGGCAACAGCAACAGCAACAGGAACAGCAGCAGGAACAGCAGCAGCAGCAGCCACAGCCACAGCCACGACCACGACCACAACCAGAACCACAACCTCGACCTCAACCTCAACCACAGCCATATCCACAGCTACTACAATGACAACAACCGCAACCATAATCACAACAGCGACAACAACAACAACTGCCACAACAACAGCAACACTAACCACAGCCACAACCACAACGACAACAACAAGAGCAAGGTAAGTGACAGTTTTCCTGACGAGAATTAAGAAAAATCACACCAGATCCGTCCTAGACGCAAGCTGAATAGTGTTTCTCTGGGGCAAAACCAACCAATAGAAGCAATGTCCAAAATGTACGGCAAACGGTTTATCCCCTGGAAAAACGCAAGGTTACATACGCTTCGCTCGAAGTATTGTAGGTTCTTCTGGGAAAAAACCAAAGACAATCACACGAAGTCCGTCCACGATGGTAAAAAATACGTTCTCCCTAGAAACCTAAGATTAACGTATGTTTTACGCGACTGGTGTAGGTTTTCCCGCGGAAAACCAAGGAGAATCACATGAAATCCGTCGAAAATGTAAGAAAAACAATGTTTTCCCTAGGGAAAATCAAAGACAAGAATATGTTTTCCTTACGCAAACGAAGGAAAAGCACACCCAATCTGCCCAAAACGCGAGGAAACTAGTGTTTCCCTAGGGAAAACCAAGGAAAATGACGCCAGATCCGTCCAAAAGGTAAGGAAACTAGTGCTTTCCCCAGGAAAACCAAGGAACAGCACCAAAAAAAAAAAAAAAAAAAAAATCCACCCGTTTTTGACATCGAAGTCCTGTGTGCCTCGTTCCGGATACTGTTCAGGTTTGGGGATCGGTGACTTCATTCACTGTGCTCAGGTGTCCGGCCACTTCGAGTCCTCAGCGCAAGCACGCCGAAGCCAAGATCGATGCGCTTCATTTCATGCGGCATATTCTGCCGCCCATCTTAAAGCGTGCGGGGAGCCTGCAATGCCGAGGTGTGGGGCGCTGAGCTGCTTGGGAAAGTCGGCATCGCTCGCCCGAACTTTCAGCGGATCATTCCTGTCGCGGGCCTCCTTTCTCGGCTTCTTGCTGTTGGGCATTCGACAATTCGACTGTGCTTCTCTTGGAGGTTGTCGCCTCCGAGATTTATGGTGCCCAATCTGGCCGGCATCCCGCCGACATTGGGCGCATGTCTCCGGAGCTCTTCCAAGAATTGCTCATCGCGGCCGTACTCCTGCCTTTTGCGCGGATCGATCTTCGCTCACCTGCCGCTCCCTGTCTGATCGCTTCGGATGCCTCCACTCAGGCTCGTGCTTCAGTGGTCTGCTCCCTGCCCGAACTTGCCTCCGAGGAGTTCCTCAGGCATACTCTGCACAAAGGGGTCTGGTCCAGACTTTTGCGGCCCTTGCCTGCTTATCTTCGGGCTCGCGGGCAGCTTCCTTGCGACCAAGAGTTACCCGACGAGCAATACTCCTCGCACCCTATCTGGGATGAGGTGTGTGCCAGCTTCCAGTTTGGTGTCCTCACCGGCGCTAAGCGAAACCAAGGCTCCCGACACATCAACGTCCTCGAACTCCAGGTCGCTCTCGAAGCTGAGAGCCGTGTCGGTGAGTTGCACCCTGGCTGTCGTTACGTGCATCTCATAGACTCTCAGGTCGCTCTTGCTACTTTAGTCAAGGGCCGCTCGTCTTCGGAAGGGCCGAACCGGCTTTTACGAAGAAGCGTTGCCAGCACTTGACATCTGGTGTTGCCCCCGGCTTTGGCTATATAGCCTCGAAATCCAACCCTGCCGATGACCCACAACCAGGTCGGTCTCCATTCGAGCTCCTTCTCGTGAGCGCCCGGATTGGCTTGTTGAAGCCTGTGCAGGTCGGTTTGAACGCCTCGACCGTTTGCTTGAGAGCTTGTCTCTTGACCGGTTCAGCACCTCCGAGCTCCCCCACCTGTCCGAGCTTGCTCCTGATGCAGTGGTTGATTTGCGGTCTCGCGTCACTAGGCGAGCCGATCGCGGCCGAGCTCGCCGTGCTCTGCCGAGAGCCCCTCGCGAGCCTCCTCCGTCAGCTTCGTTGGACTTTCAGCCGTGTGGTGCTTCTGCGCCGCTGGGTCTGTCGCCCTTGGACTTTGCTTCCGAGCCTCCTCCTTCTGGAGCCTCTGCAACAGTGGCCGATTCCTCCCGCCCCAGCCTGGCACCTGGTGCTTGGGCTTCTCCCCAGCTTGGCGCTGACTCGCTTTGCATCTCTGCAATCTGCCTTGGCATCCGGTCCTGGTGGAATTGAGCTCTTGTCGGGATCCCGAGATCTTGGTCGGGCCCTTGTTCGCCTTGGCTTCCTTTGGGTCCTTTGCTTCGACGTTGCCCACTCCCCTGCTGAGGATCTCCTGTGCAGGGATGTTCAGGGTTCGGTAGAAGAGTTGATCAGCCATCGCTGCTCCCGTGTCCTAGCTGCCGGACCGGTATGCGGTTCATTCTGCCGAGCTGTTACGCCCCCTTGCAGGACATCGTTGTACCCTACTGGGGTTCCTTGGTGTTCTGAGCTGCAGCAGCTCAAGTGTCAACAAGGCAACATCTTTGGGGCTTGGTGTGCGAAACTCTGCTCACTCTGTAAGGATCACAGCGTCCTTTACATCATCGAGAACCCCGCCACTTCCTGGCTCTGGCGTCAGAGTTACTGGAGTCTACCCACAGGGAGCTGGTCTGCGATTATTGCAGATTTGGGACAAAGTGGCGGAAGCGCACTCGGTTCAGAACTTCTGTGAGCAAGCACATGTGAGTCTCCGTGGTTACAATAAGACTGAGAAGAAAAGCTGGACAGCTTGTGTGCAGGCGTACCCTCGCTCTCTCTGCAACTTGTTAGCCGCCACGTGCTCTTCGGACTGCGGCCTCCTTGTTGGCCGCCGCAAGCTGGATGTATTGGCGCTCGGTTCGGCGAAGCTTTGCACCCAGGTCCGCGTCGGCCCGCTCGGACGCGCCGGGGCGGCCAGATGATGTTCAGCTCGTCGAGCTGCCACTGCTGCGATTCGGCTCCGCTTCTGGAGTGCCTTTGCTCTCTGGGCCTGCCAATCCTTTGGTCTTGAGGAGATCACCGAGCTGATGTCCTGCCCTCAACTCTTTGTTGAGACCTTGCGACTGTACGCGCAGGTCCTTTTCACTTTTGGGACGTCTTTGCATTACTACAGACAGCTTGTTGCACACATTTCCAAGGAGTGCCCTTCTGTAAAGCCATTTATTGGGGCAGTGTAGGGCGCTGTCACAGGGGCAGTGTAGGGCGCTGTCACACGCTGGGAGAAGCTTGAACCCTGGCCTCCCCTTCCGGAGCCGGTGCTGAAAGCCACGTTGGCTTTAGCCATTATTCACGGTTGGTATCGCTTCGCTGCTGTGCCTGCTCTCTGCTTTTACGGAATATGCCGGGTCGGCGAGACACTTTCAGCTTGCCGGGCCGAGTTTCTCACTCCTGACGATCTGCTGTCCGACAGACGCTGCGTTTATCTACAGATCAAGAAACCCAAGACGCGCAATCGTGGAGCTTCTGTTCAACATGTGTCGGTGCTCGAGCCCATCGCCATCGCCCTCATCGAGTTCGCGTTGGAGCCGCTACCGCGGTCAGCACAACTTTTTGCTGGATCCCCTGGTTCTTACCGAAGGCGTTGGGACCGCGGATTTGCAGTGGGCTATGCGTTCGCGACACCTGGTGACGCTAGCTCACTATCTTCAGGAGGTTTCAGCTGCTTCGGTGCTCCCCAGCTTATCCGATGAGGCCAGGAGCGATATCCGAGCCGCTGCCAGGTTTCTACCTGTCCTCCTTTCGCCTCTCACTGCTCAGCGCGCTCTTCGTGCCTGACGGCTACCTCTCGAGCTCTCACGGAGTTTTGTGGTGCAGCAGTAGTAAGCCTGCAGAAATTGTACAGGTACAGATTCGGCTGCCGCTGCGTTCGTCACGACACTTTGCCACGGCTGGAGTGAGGAAAAGGCGATGCGCGGTTCAACATGATGGTGACGATGAGCTTGAGATGGTTGTTGGGGTGATACCGATCACACACGTTTTTGTTGCAGTTTCCAAGAGAGTGTAAATTTGCGCACCAGCAGTCATTGCCCCATAAATTGGAACTGCGACGAGCGCTTTCCAATAGCTTCCCGAGGCTGACATGGCATGTTGCATGGGGTTCGGCCGTGCAGCTCCGGCAGGAACCAGTTGCCTGGCATGTTCCGCCAAGTTTGTTTTGCACACGTTGTTCACGACGTCTTCTTGTAACAGCATTGCAATGTGGACATTAGACCGTCGTGTTCCGAGCCCTCAGCCTGGCATGGCAATATTGCTCTCCACTACAACTCAGCCTTCCGTGCAAACTAGAACAGTCGGCAAATCCCGCGAAGCTGTGTGGGTACATGGACAGAACAATTGTAGGAGGTTGCTTGCACCTGCGCCCTGGGCAGCTATGACACACGGTGCAGATGTTGTGCTTGCTCGGAATCGTGTAGTCTTGCTGCGGTTCGAGCCACAGGCACGGCAGTGCCCTTTGAACCAAAAGAAGCCTCGGGTCTCGCAGCCACAAAATCTCGTCGACCCCCCAACTCATGCGATGCCTGTGAAACTCACCGGATCCTAAGCTGCTTTTGCTTCTATGATCCTGTGATCCTGAGCCTTTGCGCGGCTCTGTCAGGCAGTGTGTTTGCTGCAGCTCTCCGAATACCAAGGCGGGACGGCGAAGCTTTCAGAATAGAGCGACCAAACAAGAAGGTAGCAGGGTGTTGTTGACATACATTGTCTTCTGGATGGTGCTGGACCGAACACTGCAGCTTCAAGATCGTATATGTATGGGTACATAGCAGGCTGTGGACATCTGACGCTGTTTGGTTGAGGTGTGGTGGGTTGGCTTCTCATACCACGAACCCGACGCCCCGCTGGATAAGACAAGCTGCTGAGAAATCTTGTTATGGGCTGTCCAAGCTCACGATGAAGATTGAGTCTAAAGCCCCTGCTACGAGGATGGCCCACCCTTTGGGGATTCGGTGTCGGCTCGGGCTTCGAGTGTAGAAGCCGAAGCCCTTACCACGGCAAATTTGATTTCGGGGCTTGGGGTTCAGTGGAATTCTCGACCTTCAAAGTTGACTTGGAATCCATACTCGGACCCTTTGGAACTCTGGTGAAAAACAACCAACAGGCAGTGTTGGCGAGCGATACTGCGATGTCGGACTGTGATGAAAATTAGCGGCATCCCATGCCCAGGTTAGAATCCTTAGTGTGAGCGACTCTAATCCAGTTTATCCAAAAACCCCTGATCTGGCAGGGCCCGAAGACGCGACTGCTGACCATCACAGAGGATAGAAGCGGCGTGCCAAACACTCAACTCTCAGCCCCGCAGCGCAAGACCGTGAAGCCAACACCTTGGAGCCGCTGAACCCAAACACGAAAGCCTAAACCCTCGGAGCCTGAAGCCTAAAGCCTTCGTGGCCAGAGGCGCCGCCGTCGTTTTCCGCACGTTTGCAGCAGGGCTCTGAGAGCTCGCCGTTCAGGACTCCAAATTTAAGAATTTGAGGGTGAGCTTTCGCTTGCTCCGTATATGAGCAGTCAGGGAGGGATCAGGGTTGACCGTGAAGAAGCTGAGATCCCCTCACGCTAGCCCTGAAGCGCTGAAGCCCGAAGTCCCACTTATATAGAGGTCTGGATAATCATGAGATCATTTGTAACGTCTCTCCACCTCAGTTTCATACCGTCGCGAAGCCCCTAGAGAGACCGTTTGCAAAATGACTCGCACACAAGCAACAAAAAGCCACACATGACAAACATAACTTACATACCTACATACATACGTGCATCCATACCTACATACATACATGCATATATACATACATATACACAGCTGAACATATACAGACATGCAAACAGATGTACAGGCATACGAACACAACATATCCGAGCATACACATACGTAAAACAGCACAACATCCACAGCCATGCAGAAGATGGTGCAACCTTCAGTTTCAGAGTGTACAGATTCACTGTCCCTCCCTCAAAGCAGGCGACAGTACCGACAACCTCCTCACGACACTCTGACTGGATTCGCCATCCTAAGCTCCTAAGCCCGGGGGCTGCCTCGCCATCGGAAGCTGAACTTGCAGCGCGCTGAGGCGGGATACAGCAACTTTGCAGGGCCAACTGCCCAAGAAGGTGGGATCGAAAGAGGAACTCAGCTTTACAGTCTCTGACTCTCTCAGCCTCCCATATCTTGCCAAGAGCTAGCTTTCTGGGAGGATCCGTGTTCGGGCCCGAAGCACGAGCATCAAAATCATGCTCACTTCATTGTGTCGGCCCAGCTCGCGAACTCATTGCGAGTTGTAGCATCATCAGGGAAAGGAGGAGACTCTGAAGCTGAGCTGGGCTATGCTGCGTGAAGAGTGTCCAGCTCCCTTAATAGCTCGAGCCTTCAGGTTCTGTCTTGGCTTTAAGACAGGTCCTGGAGGACTTGGAGCTGGCAAAGGTCTTCCACAAGGTCCAGGCCTGCGGTTTCGGATCCGTGAAGTCTTCTCCGTTGCCTTTGCCCCATGTCGATTAAGGCTGGGTATATCTTTGCTGGGTCACGGTGCACTTCGTATAATGGGTTTGATAGATAATGGCCTCGCTTTGTGAGCCTCCCCACAGACGTTGGCCGGGCTTCCTGCACCAAAGCCCAGAACGATTGAAGCCTGGTTGCGGGGAACATCCCCAAAGCCTTGAAATACACTTCACAGTTGGTCCTGAGCTCTACAGCCGAGGTTTCAGAAACCATCAAAGCCAGGATGCGAAACCCTTCAAATGCGGAGGAGCTGGTGAGGCTCGTCGACGACCTGCAGTGTACAAACGACCTTTCGCTTCAGGCTCGATCGTCAGCAGTGCCAGTGAGAACCACGAAGCTCGCCTAGAATGTGCACCTATGTTTTTGGCCTTGACGCTCGAGTTTGAAACATCAGTGGTCTCGTGACCTTGACCTCTCTTGCTTCGCACGGGAAACTCCAGGCATGTAAATTTCGAGTGGCTGTTGTACATCAACCGTTAGAACTCAGACGCCGACCCAGACCGGACGGCAATGTTCTGGTGTTTTGTCGTTTGATGCCTTAGGCCTGGTTCAAGCTTTGTGATTTGCTCGCCGTCCGGGTAGGATGCATAGCAGCAGCAGCGGCAGCAGCCGCAAGGGGAGTTGCTTGAGAACTAGCACGAGAAGGAAGAGCAATAATGTTGTGCTCGTTCCGGATACTCGAACAAGTGTAAGCATTGCAGATCAAGGACAGAGCAGCTCGTGAGAGGAGGCAGGGAGAGTAGTTTGTATGGCCGGCTCCTTCACGAACAGTGTTCGGATAACAACTGCGCTGCAGAGACACAAGCAAATCCGACAACCATCTTTCAGCTGTTCCTAGCTCTTCTACACCGCTTAGTGGAGCTTCACTGCTCTGCGTTACATTCCACAACCATGATCACTTGCAGGCTCATGGCATTTCCAGACGAAGTGTAAAGCATGCTGGACAGGTGCAGAGCTCGAAGCGGGATGCGGTGAGGCCGACATCGGGTGACAACACCACCTTCTGGATCTCCGTAAACTTAAGCTCGCTAAAACCTCTCGGGGCGAGGTGAGGTGCCTAGGAACAGAGGTTCGAGATTCTGCATCCTTCTTGGATAGCTCGGGCAAGCGGCTCTGCCCCGGCCGATGTTTGCGGAGACAAACATCTACCGTACATGTCAGTGTGTTTTGTATGGGACCCGCGGAGGTTGGCGTACCGAGACTTTACGGAGGCCCTGGAGGCCCTCAGCGTCTCCGCTCGAGCCCCAGGCAGCAAACGTCGAGACCCCAAGCCACCATCCAGAAAGAAGACTCAGACAACAAAACCTCAACCCTTAGGCAAGGACCCCGCAAGCTGAACCCCGGGTTCAATCGTCTCCGCTTGCAACGGTGTCAGGATTTAGGATTGCGACTCGGGCATCGCGAAACCAGGGGTTCTGAGCCTTGATCCCCAAACTGCGAGAATCCTGGATGCAGCCTGCAAGCAGCAAATGCCGCACCTTGAATTCAAGACACTAAGGTCCTCGGACAAGGGGCACGACCACTGGCAACCACGACGCTTCGCTAGTTTGGGGGCATAACAGAAGAAACCGACTAGCAATACGAACTGTGATGGGACATCAGTTGTCCAAGCGAGAAGAGCGATCAGAAATGAGCGAGCAAGAATAACTTGACTAGTCAAGATGCCTGCGACCAAAACTTTGGATATGACATTTTGGGGGTTAAGGGAGGGCTTCTTGCTTTCTCAACAAAACCACGTTGTAAAGACAATCATCCAAAAACAAGCAGCGTTTCGAGCTGTATATAGGTTCAATGACAGTGCATCAAGCAGCTGCAACCTCTTCACACAATTTCATCATCGCCAACCTGTGGTGCCCATACTGATGCCCCTTAGCGTCGTCAGTATCATCACCGTAGCCTTATGTTTCGAGGCCATGGGTGAACGGTATGACCTCGAGTTTGTAGCGGTTCAAAGCGTGCGGTCCGGGGTTCTGCTTTTCAACAGGCGAGGAGAAGAGCCAAAGGCCAAGGCATTCAACAAGAGCCCCCAAGACAGAAACAGATGTAATTACGCATACAAAATCGTTCAAATATGCAGAGTATGTATATGTGTAGACGTGTGTGTGGGGGGGGACGTTCATTGAGCTTTGAACATTTTACCGCAGCCGTACATACTGTGTATACATGTATATGTTTTACAGATTGTATGCCATGCATGACAACATGCGCACATACATTCCAACCACCAATTCCTCCTCTGTTTTGTGTCTGCAAATGAAAGTGCAGATCCGCATACCACAGGAGGTCCTGGGTTCCCCTCCTCCGACGATGGAGGCCATAAGTGGGACGCTGCAGAGGATCCACAACAGAGAAAGACAGACAGAGCGAGAGAGAGAGAGAGAGAGAGAGGAGCAGAGAGAGACGGCTTCGTTCGAGTTTGGGAATTTCGAAACTCGGATCTTTGGTGGAGTCGGTGCACGGCATGGGAAGGAAGCAAGCAGCTTCGATTGTTACGGTTTAATTCCGCGGGTTTCTTCGAGGTGCCCAGTCAGCCTCATTTGCACCATTCTATCCTCAGTCAGTCACAAGCAACGAGTGTTCTGGGACCTTGCGGCTTTTCCAGCCTTCTCCCCTCTCCCCCGTCGACGGTAAACGCGGACTGTTCTGGAGGTACTACGTTTGCAGCCTTTTCTCCTGGGGTCTGCTCACGGAGCAGGCCGTCGCAGAGGCGCGGAAGCCAGCGTTGGTAGATCGGGGTTGACCAGAAGGCACCCAAGGGAGATTTGTGCTTCCTGTGCTTCAGGCGGCGGACGTCCTGAAGGTCTTGGACGTCGTGGGCATCCTCGACCCACTGGCTGGTAGTGGGTCGCAACCTCGGCATGCACAGCTTCAGGGCCGCAGTGGAGGGTACAAGGCTTGCATGGCTTAAAAATGCCGAGTTGAACAGCATCAACTTGGTTTCGGTTTGGGAGCACCGAAACTGGCCCTCCTACCATCGCCTAGTTGAAGCCGAGAAGCCCAAAACCAGAAACTCCCCACTTGCTGAAGTCCACTTTGGGTTTGCGGTCCCTACGCTATGCATGACCAAGGTGGCATGCACTTCTCTGGCAGGAGGCCCTGTGGGTAGGGGTCTGTGCAATCAGCCAAGCTCGCTCTTTGCAGTGCAGGTGTGTGGGATCTTATACACATCCCAGCTTCCCCTGTCCGAGTGCTCAGGACTTCGAGGGTGAAAGGTTTAAAAGGGCATCGCGGCAGAATCCGACGTTTCCATTACTTCTGAAACCTTCATCTCTACGAGTGGTTCGTGATTTCCTCGTGTCGAGCTGCCAGTTCTTCTGTCGTTGTCCAAATACCTCCCTTGGTGGGAAACCAACACCAGGAAGTTTCATGAATCGGTCCGTGGTTCCCAGAGTGACGCCAATGTAGATCCCACAGACGACGGGCTACAACTACAACTGGTGTTTTGAACGAATCGCCAACGCCACAAGAAGCCTTCAGACTAGAGTTCTTGCAGCCTTCGTGCATCGCACGAAAGCCGTGCTTGTGTCTGTCTTTCTGCGGGAGGTGGGGGGCCTCTCTGTCCTGGCCATGGACTCCTATGCCGCAGCCGCCTAAGTTTACAGTGAAGACTGCAAACCGTGTCGGGGACCGCAGGCTCCGGATTTCCGTAGGAATTATGAACCCCCGAAAATATTGCATGTCCCATTTGTGACCTGCAATGCGGTCTTCGGATCAGCGGGAGCCAAAAAAATTAGACTTCCGCCGTGGTCCTCATCCTTCAAACCTGACTCCAACGCCCGGGACTAATCGTAGCACCCCAAGCCATTTGGCCATAACCTTGAAAAAGCCTTAAATCTGCAAGGTCCTTGTTTGAAGCATTTCCTCGTGCCATCAAAAGCCTTTGAGAAAGCGAAAGCGAGCGAGAGAGAGAGAGAGAGAGACAGGGAGAGATAACAAAGCAGAACGAGCCGAAGCATGAGCCTATATGCTAGTCACGATATAAGTCGCGACAAGAAGTGTGCTGAGAACAACAACATGTGAGGTTCGGCCAGTGGCTTGGGCCCCTGTCGCTGTCGTCGAGGATTCCAGGCCCCCGGGCCTGCGGCTGTATTTTAATCCCGGCTTGAATCGAGATCTGGGAACTCTGTCGTTATGAGGGTTCCTGAACATCCGACAGAGAAACCAGACATTGAGGTCAAACCATAAATGCATATTTCAAGAGAGACATGGATGTTGCTATGGTTTCGCCCCTTAATCTCCAAGTGGCCAGCCGCAGTAGCCCCTTGGGGTCCTGTAGTCAGTAGTCTTCACCTTCCTATGTCAAATCCCCCACCCGCCCCATACCCAGACTTGGAACCCGGCTTCATTTCTAGTGTCAAAGTTACGAAGTTGCTCGGCCCGTAGCTCCCAACTCTGAGGACAGCTATAAGGCGTCTGCAGCCACCTGACATTTCCAGGCGGGACAGCACCGTAAAGAGATGGTTGGCGTAGATCTCAGATGCGGGCCTTAATATGTTAATGGTTGGGGGTATAGACAACACGAAATCGAGACTTGTGTTTGTGGTTGCGTGGTGCATGGCCAGCGAGTAGCGCAGGCAGAGGTTGCCTGCTCGAGATTCGAAGCAGAGGTTAGGCTTCAGGTCTTGGCTATCTGCTTTGCAGGACCGGGACGTAGAAATTGAAATGTCGGGTTCAGAACTCAGCGTTTATGGTTGGGGATCCGCGAGTCTGCAACCAACATTCGATAAAGGCTCGAGCCGGGCTGAAGAAGTTCCTGTTTTCAAGTCTTTCTTTTTCACCAGGTCCTGGTGCTTCGCCACCAATGGCATGTGCTGGTCCCCCAAGACCGACAGGTGGGCGCTCTTCTTGAGCTGGCCGCCGCACAGTCCGGATACCGTTGGCCAAGAGCCCAGGGTGGACTTGGGGCTTCCTGGTGTTTCGAGTCGATGTCGCGGCGGGGCTTCTGAGTCCCGGTTTTTGGAACCCTGTTGGATTGAGGACAACGGCCAGGCGTCTGCTATCCTTTACAATGCTCCCGACGACCGAAGCAGCCCTGGAGGGTAAACAGTCCTGAAGATTTCAACCCACGCATAGTCACAGGATGTAACAGGCAGATTAGGTATGTATATATATATATATATATATACATGTATGTGTGTGTGTAAGTATAAGTGTAAGTGTATGTTCGCGTATGTGGGGAGCCAGGGGCATCAACATAAACCTCCTACAGTGATACAGAGACTGGAATCAAGACACCGATCTTTTCAATCCGAGCCGGCCTGTGAATTCTGCTGTCAGCCAGAGAGCGTGCGGGGAGCAGTCACTGGTACGACCACTACACCATAAACAGTAGCTCACAAAATCTGTTTGCTATAGTACTACTGTAGTTTCGCGTTGTGTTCGTTTTCAGAGCAAACAGGTTCAGACCTACTCGAGAAGTTTGAGGGCACCTACTTCCTCTACTTGGGCGAGGAGGCTGACACTGGCTTCGACTTGCGAGGGTTGAGGCCTTCAGCTCAAACCGGACTCGTGCAGGGTTGAGTGCCGGCTTCAGACTAACAAGTGTGACCCGGGCCAAGGTGGCCAAAGCCAAAGCCATGTCACCGGGCGATGTGCTCCTTCTGCACTGAAAACCCTGATCTAGAAGAGCTCCCACCTTAGCCATCGCCCATGCAGGAGGATCCCAACGCTGGGGACGCAGGGTTGACCGGAGGCGGGTTTCGGAGAGCACTGCAAGGGCTCACGAATTACAAAGTCTCCGTCCCTTGACCTCCGAGGCTCGCTCTTCCCCCTTTCAGTATAAGATGTGCTCTGGAAGCGCAACGAAGAGAGGCGGAGAAGTTTGATGTGGTGGGGTCTTGAAGCGTGAGAGCAAACACCCGGAAGCCCTGCAGCCCCGTTTCAGCAGCCGCTTGGAAGATTCAACCGAGTCGAGTCTCAGCTTTGCATCTCCGTCTACCCGGCTATCTGAGGGGGTTTGTGCATGTACAGTGCACAGACATTGCTTCCGCAGATGTGCCAGGCCATCAGCTCCTCTCTCGCATCGAAAAGGACTGCCAGCTTTTGGATTTAAGGATTCCTCGTCAAGATGGCTTTCCAATTGAGGGTCATGACGGTCATGGGGTGATTCTGCTCATGCTGCAGCCCTTCGTCTTATCACTTAGAGTTTGGAATTTTGTCGAAGGACGTTGATGGCTCATCTAGAGAGACACTTCGAGCACCAGGCCAGACATTAGATTCAGTTCGTCTGGGCAGCAACAGGAAGCGTCCTGGATGATTGCGGTCACGATCTTCACAGTCTGGCTCAGTTGAGCCCCGGCTTGGCCTTGGATCCCACAATAGAGTTCGTATGACTTAGGTATCCTGCCTGGCCCCCTTCATCCAGAAACCACGCAAGATGGATGTTTGGCCATGCTGGGGCTGCTGGCCGCTCTGTCGCTCTCCCTTTCGCGGTCCCTACTGCCTGATTCAGCTTCTTGAAGGGTCGAGAGCAGATGTTTGTTTTTCGATCTTATTGGTCAGGTATGCTCCCGTTTCAGTCCATGGCCCTTAGAGAAGACGGCAGGCTTGCTGGGGAGGCTTCACCTATGACGACTGCTGTGGGGACAAGTTCGGACCAGCTGGAAATCTCGAATGCTGGAATGCTACTTTCATTCCGGAGAGATGTTGTGTGAGGCAGCGAATCGAGCAAGTCAGAACGACTTGCCAATGCTGCAACCTCAGCAAAACGCGGCCAGTCCTCGGATCCGTCAGCGAAGTGGTTGAGAAGCACGGCTACCCTGTGTTCTTCGATGCTATGACGACCAAGGCCGCTTGGTTCAGGTCCGGCTATCGCGGCTGGGAGCCGCTTACCTTCCGAATCTTTCAGCGTTTTGCGACGGGCCAAATTGTTCTGGATGTTGGTGCTTGGGTTGGTGCTACGGCAATCTGGGAAGCCAACGTTGCCGAGCACGTCTTCGCCGTCGAGCCCACCCCCGTTTCAGGGTGTCAGCTGTTGGCAAACCTGAACGTCAATCCCCCCCGCGTGTCCCGCCGAGTCACACTCATCCGGGGAGCACTGCACAACGAAACCGGAAGCGTCGTGATCTTGAATCGCAAAGAGGACTCCAACAATCGCATATACGCAGGTCCGGCACGCCCGCTCATGACAAGTGTTCCGTCATTCACAATTGAGGCGTTGCTCTTGAAATACCCACGGCTTCGGCGAGTTTCTTTCATCAAAATTGATACTGAAGGACACGAGCGTGTGCTCATACCTGCCATGCGCTCCTTCCTCAAGAAGCAAAAACCCGTCGTGTTGGTGTCCTTGCACCCTATTTACATCGGGGACCGCTTAGTTCGCAGGGTGGTCAATGCTCTGAAGGAGATCTTTCCATACCTGTACGACTCGGACATGAAGACACCATTCAACATCCGGCGTTTCACTTTCTTCGGCAGTCCCGAAGACCATTATGGCACGGAGTTGTTGGGTACCTGGCACCCTCTATGAAGAGACCGTCGCAAGGACGATTTACGGTCAGCTCCCCGCGGTCTTTTCGACGTGGCCTTTGGGGGCACGCTTGTTCAGCGAAGTATTGAAAGTGCCGAAAGAAGCTTCTGGGTTTTTCGTTCTTCCTTGCAGGTAAACCCTTCCTCTCCACTGCGCAGGCCTAGACTGGAAATATAGCTGATCGGCAATGAGACTGGCTCTAAAACTCTGCAATCTGAAGCTCTGCCTTTTGGATACAGTCACGGCATTCAGATGCCTTGTCTACCTAACAACTAACATCCCCTTGCCGAAGTCTCAGAGTGAAGGGACAGTCCTGCTTTTGGCTTCAGCGAGGGTTGCGAGGTGACGATGCACGTGCAGGGGAGCGCGTGCGGAGTGCCCGCAGTTGTTTATGCATTTGGCTGGTTTTTGTGTGCACATTATATATACATATATGCATTTATGTGTATATATGTATATGTTATGTAAGCTTATGTTTATGTAGATGTATATATATACATAGATCACTGTTGCTGCGTCGACAGACTGGTTAGCGGCACAGGGCCTTCAGGAGTGCAGCCTCGGGATGAATCCTAGATATGCATTGCAGGACTGGGATCTCGTCCGAGAGTGGTGCATCCCGAAGTGGTGGGATGGACCCAGATTCCTGTCACATGGGCGCTTCTGTTTGCTTTTGCCTTTGGACCTCGCTTCCCGCCACTAGAGGGCCTGACCCACACGGAAGATCAGAGTCGGAAGATCTCGGGTTTCAGGGTGTATATACCCAGCCTCGCTAACGCAGCCTCACGCGTAAAGAGGTCAAAGCACGAAGACCAGGAAGCACACTCACACAGGCAAGGACCGACTCATGATTGGGTGAACATGCTCTATATGCTGCATCTTCAAGTAGCTGCTAGCTTTCCGCTCTAAATGCCCAAATTCTCTTAGACCCCAATCGAAGTCTCCGTATAGTTGTGTTGGTTCCATGCTCCATGCCCCGAAAAATCTTTGCGCCGACAACCTTAAACATCAGACCCGACAAATTTCTAATCTCACGAACCCTGACCTCGGCCAGAGATCTCACACTTCAACTTGAGAGTTGGATTCTGCACTGCATTGTCCGGAAAAAACTCCCGAGCCTGGACCCTTCTGTGCCAAGGCCAGGCTTTGCAGACAAATTGGCCTTGTATCGTCGCAAATGCAAGTGAAAAAGCCATGCGTGCGTTCAAACTTGCTCTCGAGTTCCAGTCTAAAACTGCATGAGGTGTTTAGTTGTTTAGTTCGTCAGTGCCGAGACCTTCGAGAGCTGTAGAGATGATGGGCACATGCCTTCTGACTGTTCAGTTGGCATCGCATGATGCCCTCGGCATACCTGTTGCTCAGGCAATTTGCTGGAGTGATGCAGTGGGGAACGCGTGCTTCGCCATTCATGCACATTGCCGACAGACCCGCAGCATTTGCGTCCACGTCCCAAGAACACGTCCTCCTTCCGCTTGCCAGAGAGCCATGACCAGCACGGAGTTTGAAGTGATTACCAACGACGGACGCTCCACGCTCGACGGATGGAACATGGTGGCTTGCTCCTGATTGGGTGCTAACTGGCAGCGAACACAGGAGTTTCGTCCTCCACAGTTCCGAAGTGCGAATCCGTGAGAAAACTCTGTGAGTCTGGGCCTTCAGCCCTTGGCCCATGCTCTCCCGTGCATGACGACTGTCCGCGTACCCTCATGGACATGATGTTCCCACCTCATAGAATAGCAGCGGATGCAAAATCGAGTTTCCCAGGACCTTCTTCTGCTTTGATGCCGGATTTCGCATGTGTTTGTATTGAGATGTTTTCGTATGTCTCAGGTCGTTCCTTCGTTTTTGGTGCTGTACTGACCGTCGCGCCAGGCTTGCTGTGCTTTCAGACCCCTCATCCGTCTAGCTTAAATCGGAGAAATGATCTTCCCAAGACGCAGAGCCGCCTGAGGTCGAGGAGCCCGAGCCGGCAGGCAGAGCTCAGAGCCTCAGTGCAGAAGCTTGGTCTTTTCATTCTTCCTTGGGAGATCGTCTTGGGTTCAGTGCTTGTTTTTGCCGCATACTCGCTTGGGATGGATTTTAGCAACGGGTGATCAGTTGCATGTTCTATGGAGTGTAGTCACATACTGGAATGCTGGTCTCGTGTGGATGGGGGCATTCTTCCCAAACAGTGTGACAACACTGTCGGCTTCTGTTGGGTTCTCATGTTGTCAGTAAGCGCCTTGCATCGCGGTCCTTGCATCGGGCGGGCACCTAGCTTTCGTTATCTGCATGGCACAGCAGCGTTGCACCTTGTGTCAAAAGCTTGGCAACTGCTGAGGAAGAGTTTTGTAGGACTTCCTTTGAGTTCTGTTTGGGTTTCTGCGAAACCATGGGTTTGAGAATTTGGCTTAGTGTACATTTTGCCCAATAGCCAGTGTCCTCTACGCCGCAACACTGCTCGGCCCCGTGCAATATCGTGCGTATTAGAGGCCCATCGTGTTCCCGCCACCGTCCCGCGAGTATTTTTTGAGGTGAAGTGAGCCTCAACGGTGCTGAAATAGGCGCATGTCGGACAGAAACTCCATACCTTGCCTCCGTAACCTTCTTCCCTTCAGGAAGTGGCTCTGGAGCGAAATGCCATGGGGCTGCCCGCCGGCGAGATGCAGGCTCTCAGGGTGTCTCAGGTGTTTTGGAGGGTTTGGGTGGTTTAGGATTTATTGAATTCGGTTCCACCCTCCCACCGCATGGCTCCTGAAATTCTCCTCCCTGAGCCCTGGAATCCAGAGCGCTTGAGTCCTCAAAGCTGAGCTCAAAACCGAACAGAACAATGCGCAGCCCTGAAGCAGAGAATAGCATCAACACAAATGCACTTCCGCCACAAGCCCCCTGGCCGCCCAAAAACAGTCCTTTTGACAACACAGCTTCTTTCGATGCCCAGCAACTCAAGCCTTGTGGTGGAGATGCTGCGAGCCTTGAGCGCACTTGTAACCCCGAAACATTGGTTCTCAAATAAGCCGAAGTGCCGGCCTCTTCAGACCCGATCCTGAGCACCAAGCCGTTCCTGCAACCCAGAGCCAGGCCGTCCTCTCCGTCGTAGCGCCGCTTGCCGAGGAGGGGACCCGGGCTCCACTCCACTTAGTGGCTGCTCGGTGCCACTGGAGCTTCGAAATCTGGGAGATTGGATGCCCTTCGTGGGATTTTTTTTCAATTTGGTTCTCAAATTTGGGTGTGCTGAGACTCCAACTTTAATTATCAAGCCCCACAACTCGGCATTACACAAAGAAGTTTCCTGAGTTGTTGTGTGCTTCCACTGCCCTCCTAGAGGTTGATGCCCGGAATTCCAAGACACAGCAAGTTCACCAAAAACCCGAATGTCGTTTCAAAACCTCAACCCCGCACCCAAAGACCCATAAAACCCCCAAGACTGCGCACCCGTTTAAATTCCACATACTTAAAACGCCAATAAAGATTTCAAATTCACAAAATTCTCGAAGATTCCAGGCTATTCTGGACCGGTCTGGCTCCATGAGCGGGGAGAAGATCCGCCTGGTGAAGCAGACCATGACCCTGGTCGGCAAACTTGGGGGTTGTTCGAAGCACTCGGGGGCTTTACGATTACTTGCATGCATATGTGTACTCGAAGTGCTCTTGTAGGTTTAAGCCTAGAATACAGGAGCCTTAAACATCACCTCAGAGCACTCCCTGGCATCTTGTCCGGTGTTCGTTCTTCACGCTCAATGCTTGCCGTCCACGGCCGGAGACTTGCGGATCAGTCAGTGCCTTCAGGAAGTTCATGCTGCGCTACCTGTCGTCACGGGACTCTCTGGGAATCGTCGAGTACGGCTCAGATGTGAAGGTTCGGCTCCGAAGGGCTTTTAGAACATGGGGGGGCTTGGGGGAATGTACGACATTCGGGTTAGAGCACGTATCTTGGTGTTCTTGTAGCAGCTCTTGCAGCACAAGCCAGCATTGAACGTGCAAGTTTGCGAGCCTCCTGGTCGGATGATGACTTCCTGATGCATCACGGTAAGCACACGAGGCTCCAACTCCGAAGCTCCAGACGCTGACACCTGCCCAGGTGGCTGCGCCGCTGACAAAATGCGACCAGGAGCATATGGGACAAAAGCGCTTGGGGTTTGCATCCTTTTTGAGCTACCCTAGGGTAACCTTTCAAGATTAAACTTAAAGCCAAAACCAGGTGCAACAAAGCCCTTCACAAAAAGCTGCGTTGAGACCGGGCTTATTATGCCCTGCTCTGCAGTGTCAGGATGGCCGGGCGAGGCTGGCACATGCGCTTGAGAAGATCCAAATCAGTGCCTCCTTGGTGACAGGAGGTTTCAAGGAAGGTTGCAAGCGTTCTTTATGATTCCTCGGAGGGGCTTCATGAGATCTTTTTGTGGGCCGCACGGTCTGCACGAGAGCTATATAGGATATAGATGCTTCATACAGGGCATTTCTTTTAGATGGCTTAGGGGTTTGGAGCTTGAGAAATTTCGCTGTTTGTCTCAGGCGTACGACTGTATGCCCCCCCGTGCTCAGACCTCCCCGGTCTGTACGATGTGATGCAACATGGTATGGCATCGAGTGCATAGGGCATACAGCGTGGCATGAAATTCGCCTCTGGTGTTTGTGGATTTCGGTCGCGCGGCATAGCCCAAGTCTTAACGCTTTCTCCATCTAAACCCATCATGCCCAGTGCTTCAAGTCAATACTACGATGCCTGGCTCAGGTGGACAGACTAACCTCTCTGGAGGCTTGCTCAAGGGCCGCTTGACTGAGGGTGTTGGATCTAGGTTTGACCAGCGCGTGATCAGGGGCTGGGATGGGAGGCAGTGCCAAGCTTGAGACATGCAAGTGCGGCAATGCCTTGTGTGTTGATGGAATGCATGCACAAAAACCTTGCAACTAAAATCTATAGCCCTTCCTTAGCCATGCAAGACCCCCTACCTGACAAATGCGTGAGATGCTTCAGGTTTCCCGAATAGGCACTTAAGTCGTCCTCTTCAAGGCCTTCCAAT